CCTTATACTATTTGCGAAGGTACAACTTCCTAGGACACCAACATTAGCTGCCTCCGATAGGAATTAAAAAATGATTGACCAAAATTCTGATAATCTGGGGCATGCCCAGAAAATGTGAGTCAGATTGGCTCTGGCAGAATGGCAATGATCACATGTATCACAGACATTAGGGTACATTTTAGCCAATTTAGTTTTACTGTAATAGATACGGTGGAGATCTTTAAACTGAATTAGGCTGAGCCAGGCACAGGACATTATTCCATTAATTCTTCTTAATGCAGTCCCCCAGGTTTTATCGAGTATTCCCATTCTGAACTCCTCTTTGCACTTGGTACATATCTTTCTTTTTGCTGTGTTTTTGAGAGACATGATGATATTATAAAAATGTGAAATCAGGCCTTTGAGTTGCAAGCAAGTTTCTAAGATGTCTATTCCTGATCTTGGAGGCAAATTACGGAAAGTTGGACATTCGGCATGAATGAAATGATGTAACTGAAAATAACTAAATAGGTTGGAGTTTGGAAGTTTAAATTTCATGGCTATGTCTTTAAAACCGGCAAAGGTCCCATCTATGGATAACTTGCTGAATTTATTGAGACGCAGGTTCTGTCTTTCATTAAAAGAGTCAAGTCAAAGTTTATTTACATAGCACTTTTTACAACAGGCATTGTCACAAAACAGCTTTACAGAAAAATCTGGGTCCAAGCCTCCATAAGCAAGCCAATGGCGAGAGTGTCAAGGAAAAACTCCCTAAGATCAAGAGGAAGAAACCTTGAAAGGAACGAAGGCTCAAAAGGGGAACCCATCCTCTTCTGGTCGATACTGGATAGCAAGCAATAAGAGCAGGGAATGAGATTTGATCATTAGTATAACATATGGAAAAAGGGGAAAAGCAGGAGTAGCAATGTCTGTGATTACAAAAATGCTGCAGTATTATCAGGAGGGTCAGTGGCGTGCAGGTGAGGTTTGTACAACATTGTACAAACATTCAGCAGGTTTGTGGAGGTTAAACAGTCCTAGATTAGACCAAAGGTGCTGTCATTGCAAACTAGTTTAACTGATCTGATATTGGTTAGAAACTTTCCGAGGTTTTCTAAATTTTGTTTTAGTCAGGGAACAGGCACGGTCTCAATTAGGTGGAACCTATGCGTCTCAGAGAGGGGCAAGGCTGAAAATGATCAGAGGTCTAGTAACTGCTAGTTTAAGAGTTTTTGGTATAGCCAGAGCTAAGAGAGTAGTTTATTATTGACAGATGAGGGTTGGTTATTTCTGGCAAAATGTCTTTGAGTAAAGTTGTAGGAATTGGATCTAATAAGATTTTGAAGAGGAAATAATTTTAACTAGCTCAGTTTGTTCAAGTAAGATAAACGATTCCAGCCACTCTGCAGTAGTTACACTATACTCATCTGAGTTAGCTTTGTAGGGTAGCAGGTTTCTGGAGGTTAACTGTGTGTTTTGAATTTTTTGCCTGATTTGTTTCAGTTTTTTTTATTGAAGACTTTCTATAATAAGATCTGGGTGGTTTCTGATACAGCTACTAGCTGTGGAGGATGTTATAGTGTGCTTAATGTGATAGCGTAGTGATAGACACATATTATGACTAAAAAGTCCATATGAGATTTCATATGAGATTAGGTAATGATCTGAGACTGCTGTGCTCTGGGAGGAGAATGGCTCAATATTCAAAAGATTTAAGTTTAGTGTGTGGTTGCAATAGTG